GGCTTGGCTGAAGCACAGGAGAGGACCCCCCTGGGCCGGGCGCGGGGGTCTCTGGCAGCCCAGAGGAAGGGGCGCCTAGCTGGGGCCTGAGGGGGTGTAAGGCAAGGAGGAGGTTTCCATTTGAGGAGGGGACCGAGGGCTAGAGGACCCCGGCCTGGCAGACAAGCGCCCCTCAGCCACTGGGGCGGGGGGGAGGGCGTCCAGTTGGGTTGGAGGACACCCGATCCCAGACCCTTCCTCCTGCCCCCTTTACACCCTCTGCCCAGAGAGACAGTCAGGACTGCCCGCCCGTGCCTGGCCAAGCCCCGATGTCCTTCCCGTGGTTCGGACGTCCCCGTCTCTAGGCTAACACAGCAGTGGGAAAGGACACCGCCGGCTGCTGGGAGGGACGGGGCTCGGCGCTCTTCTGGACCTTTTTCTCTTTCTTCCCCGTTGGTTACTCGTCCCCTCCTCCCTGGCGTCTCCCTGCCTCTTCTTGAGGGCAGTGGCAGCAACCGTTGTTCCCATGGCCCCTAGAACTGAGCAGGAATTGCTGATTCTGAGGGCGGGGAGGGAGAGCCGTCCGCAGGCCTGGAGCGCAGCCTCGACCCACCTCGTGCAGCCCCCGGGCCCTGCTGCTGCAGGAGCTGCAGATCTGCCCCCGGGCCCTGCTGCTGCAGGAGCTGCTGGTCTGCCCCCGTGGCTGCTCCCTGCAGACCCGGAAATGGAAGAGCTTCACCACCCTGTGAGACAGGCTGGGCACAGAAGGCCTGGACCAGTCACCACAGCAAAGCTCCTTGAAGGCAGCCACCCCAGGAGTGGATGCACGCTAAACATGGCTCAGGCTGCACGTTTTAGTGCAGGAGGTTGGCTTCTCCATGTTGAAGTCGCTCTGCTTGCAGGGTACTGCACAGCCAGGAGGAAGTGGTGAGGGCCAGCTGGTGGCCTGGTGGGTCAGGGACAGGGTGGGTCTGTCAGGCTCTTCTCCCTGAGCAGGTTGCCTCAGATCTGAAAGAAGGGGTGGTGAGGTCATTAGAAGGTCCTTTCTAGATTCTAAATAACCCCTAATAACCCATCAAGGGTGGTGTGTGCTCATTTGGTGTAGAGGAACAGAAAACACCCTTTTTTCCTGCTTGGGGACCCAGCTGCTGTTTTGGGAAGCTGATCCCTGAGCCAACCACTCACCAACCTCATTCCCCATCTTTCTCCTCTCCATCCCACCTCCTCCAGAAGCAAACAGCTAAGACAGGACACTGCCTCAAGTCACCCTGAGTCACACATCCCCTGAACATGCTCAATGTCCTTCCCAGGACTCCTGGGTGCTCTGCATCCACCTGCGGGGGGCCCACCCCGAGTGCCCATGCTACCCCACACCCCTACCTGGTGTTCCCTCCACTGCCCAGGTCCTGGGGCACCTCCTCTGACTGGCTGGGAACCCCCATGGGGGGCAGGCGGGGCTCTTCCTGATGTCGCGCTGGCAACCACTCTCTTGGCTTGGTGGCAGTGGCTGCTGGGAAGGAAGAGAGAGGTCAGCCCATGTCTGCATCCTTTCTAAGGATGCTCTTTCCTGGGCTGGGCCGTGAAGCCAAGGAAAGCGCACGGCCAGGCCAGTCCCTCCCGCTCCCTGGCGCCTGCGGATCGAGCACCTGTTTACCCATGCAGCCAGGGAGCTCGCCAGGCCGGCGCGCAGCGCAGGGAGGCACAGACCACTCGGCTCAGCCTTCTCGGCTCCTCTCGGCTGATAGAACACGAAATCGTCCCCCTGGCCACTGCTCGGCACCTCCACCCAGGAGCATGGAGGTACATTTGTTTATCTGAAACTCAAATGTAACTGTGTCCTGCATTTTTATTTGCTAAATCCAGCAATCCCAGAGCTGGGGCTCTCCTGACTGAGCTGCCCAGAGCTCCTTCAGGCTGAATCCCTCACTGTGCCCAAGAGGGCTAGGAACCAAGATGGGAAACTCTAGCCTCAAATGTCCTGAAGAAGGACACACAGTGTGCCCCATCTCTATTGAGACTGAAGCTGGAGGATGGAGGCTGGATGTCAGAAAGGACATCGTAGGATGGGAAAGACCAATTGGGTACAGAGCAATAGAAGGAGCTATCCTAAGTCTTGTCTGTGTAGGGTGGTATAAGAGGGATAAAAGTTAGACTGCGGGAGAGATTTTCTGCTGGCAGTGACCATGATGGCTGGCTGAGTTTCCTTTGCTAAAGATCCCAGAGGTTAGTGGGGGACATGCTGCCTCCCAGAGAGGCCCCAGTACCTTGACTGAGTGTTGGTAAAACAGTTAGAGGTTTGGGATCCTGACCTCTGGGGTTGAGGTGGCAGTAGAGGCGTTCTGCCTTCTTCAGCCAATCTAATAAGGGGATCTCCTGCCCTCCCATCCCCGCCCCCCCACTGTGACTGCTACAGAGACAGCGGCTCCAACACCGGTTGTCATGGTTATAAGAGGAGCTAACTCCCATAGATTGGAAAGCGCTGGTGAGCTGGCACCCTCTGCTTTGCCGGCTCTCCCCTCCTCTCTGCGCATCTTCCCTTCCAACTGAGAGAAGAGAGTACAGCAGCTTGGGGGCGAGCAGAGCTGGGGCTGGGAGGTGGAGTGAGGACGTGGAGATTTAGAGCCAGGGAGATGAGTGGCAACAGGAGGCAGCCCAGCCGCAGGGGCCAGGTAGGTCAGGGACCCAGAAGCCTTTTTGGGTTGGCTGCCCCAGAGCTGCGGGTCTGTGTTCTCTGCTCCGGAGGCTTACAATAAGGCCCAGGACACCAAATGTAGGTGCAGGAAATAACACACAAATAGAGCCATGCCCAAGAACTGGGATATAGACAGGGGAAATCCCATTACAATTCACACCATTAAAAAGCTGGCACCCAGGGGTAGGCATGTCCTCCTGGATCAGGAGTTTGCTAGGGTGGGTGAGGGTGGGGACAGGGTGAGCTGAGCTCCCCTGAGACCCTTTGAGGTCTCCTTGGTTCAATCGCCCCCTTCTCCTCTCCCTGATCCCCCCACCACATGCTACACTGCAGACTTTCAGAGGTCCCCCTAAGGAAAAAGACCCACGGACAGAGCCGGGAGCTGGGAGAAGGGAGGCTGTGTGCGTGCCCCTGAACTTACTGGGACAGAGTACTGTTCCCTACTGGTTAACCCATTTCAGAGAGGGCTGGGCATTTCAACGCCAGGTAAGGCATGTGATTTTGATATTCGAGATAGTCTTGGTTGATGGGGAAATGACAGTAATTTTCCTCAGGCCAATGTCTCACAAAATTCTAAGCCACATTCTTGGCTTTTTCCCTGGGAAACTATTTCCTTTTGGCTCTATGGGCTGAGTCCTTTGCTCAGAAAGAATGACTTTCTGGCCCTGCCTTCAACTGATCAAGAGTTTGCGGATCCTGGGGGCTCCTTGTCATGAGTCATCCCACTGTCTTGAGTGACTGCGCGGTGTGAAGGTCTTCCTGAAGGTGTGGACACTCATGGCGGTGGGTTTCCATGGGATCTCTAGGAGGGGCGTTAATTCCTGGCACGAGGCCAGCGTGGCCAACGGGCAAGTCATGTGCGAGAGGACACCTGTGGGGAGGAGCTGGGTGGGCGCAAAGAGAGCGAGAGAATGGAGTGGAGGGAGGGCTGGAGGAGCAGGACTGTGTGGAGCAAGCGGCCGGGGGAGGTCGGTGCAGGCTCCCGCAGGGAAGGAATGAGCCAGACCAGACGGGGATGGCTCCTCCGCATTCCTCTCCCTGCCCTGATCTGCTGCACCCACACGCAGCCTCAGAACCAGAGGCCTGTCTGGCAGAGGCAGGGAGACACCTCGGGGAGACAGCAGCTGTCCAGGGTGAGTGAGGGGCCTGCGGATGGGCCAGTTGGAAAGAGGGGACAGGGAGGAACAGAGCAAAGGCTCACTAATGACCTAGAGAAGAGTGAAAGGATGTGAAAGGAGAAGCAAAGGTGTTGGCCTGAGGCTGGGCCAGAGCAGTGAACAGTCCTGGCCTCTGGCAGGTGGAAGCTGCTCACTATCAAGAGACCTTCCCCAAGAGTCCCAAATAACCCGGCTTGCTTCTGGCTCTGAAACAGGCCTGCGGCTCTGGGCCTGCGCTTGGGAGCATTTGAATCCAATTGTGAGCAGATTATACAAGTTCTCAGATGTTTCTCATTCTGGAATCCGACCTGCTTCTCAGCTGTTTTTCCTATTTGAATGGAAATTAGAGTCTTATCTGGCCTGCTCATAATCCTTATAATTTCCTTTTGAAAATTAAAAAAAAAAAAAAACCAACAAAACAACTTCGTACATTTCTGATTCAAAGTATATATATTTTGGGGCTGGTGGTTAGCTCAGCTGGTGAGAGCATGGTGTTATAACACCAAGGTCAAGGGTTCAGATCCCTGTACCAGCCAGCCGCCCAAAAAACAAAACAAAACGAATCTCTTGTACTTTTATCCTCCACCAGCATTTTTTTTTTTGATGGCTGGCTGGTAGTCCACCGGTTTTGAAGCTAGTTAACTAGATGCTTCAAGACACGTTTGGATCCCAGAGTCATTCGTGGTCCTGGTCACACACTTCTGACTCGGTCCAGCCTTCTGACACGTGGCTGACCCCCTCAGCCCTGGAAACTGAGGTACCAAAACCTTGGTCATTGATCTACATCAGCTTGTGATTCCCATTCCACAGGCTCCCATTAAACCCGCTTCCCCCAGTTGGAAATCTTGCCCCGGTAGCTCCCAGGCATGAGCGGTGGACAGTGCTCCTGGCAGTGGGTTTGGAGGAGAGCATGGCGTCGGGCCTGGCAGTGTGATCCCGGCGTGAGCCTCCGTGACACAGGCGGTGGCTGAGACCACAGGGCTTCCCAGCTCCTGCCACTGCTTCACTTAGACTCTAGGCCTCACAGCCCCAGACCATACCGGGCATGCTGCCAACGCTCTTACGTGGACAGGGGACGCAGGCCTCTGCCGCACTGGGCTCGCCCTCCTTGCCGACTGCGGGCTGAGTGGCTGGCAGTGCCTGCAGGCAGCCGTTTCTAGCACGTCGGGCCATCTGGGGTGAAGGGAGATGGTCGTCTGGCCTGCAGGAAAACATGAAAAACTGCAGTAACTACAGAGAGCCGGGAGATATTTGACTGTGGGCTACCACGTAGCATCACAAATACAGGAGCTGGCCGTGCCTGAAATTCTTTTGTTAAACCGATATTAGCAGGTATTAAATCTTTTTAAGGGTATTGGCACGGGAGATATTTGACTGTGGGCTACCACGTAGCATCACAAATACAGGAGCTGGCTGTGCCTGAAATTCTTTTGTTAAACCGATATTAGCAGGTATTAAATCTTTTTAAGGGTATTGGCAGAAAGTAGGAGGCTGAAACCATGCAGCAGTAGCCTCACCTCACTCCTGTTAGCCCCTGTGAATTTCAGTGATACATGGCTTCGTATATTTCAAACACATGAGTATGGCTTAGGGCTTTGGGTGGCATGGGGGACCATTTCGACCAAGACAAATCAAACAACTTAAGGCACAGATCATCTGTTTTTTCTTCTGGCTTCGTATATTTCAAACACATGAGTATGGCTTAGGGCTTTGGGTGGCACAGGGGACCATTTCGACCAAGACAAATCAAACAACTTAAGGCACAGATCATCTGTTTTTTCTTCCCGAGATGCAACCAGTGAATGAAGGGATGAATCCAATCAGAGGGGACACAGCACGCTGTCATGTCAGCCCCGACCAGGGTTAGGAACAGGACCGGGGAGAGACTTGCTTTCTGACACCACCTGAAGGAGGCCTGCAGAACGACTGCTTGATGGGCTGGTAGAGAGGGCTGGCGGAGGCTCATTCATTCAGCAACACATGTTGGGAGCCTCACTGGGCCAGACTGGGTGAGGCGCAAGAGACCACGGGCCCAGGCGAGCCCCTGGCAGAGTGGCAGGCAGGGATGGGGCTGGCTCCGCGGGTCATCTTTGACGCACATCCCTGAGGAAGGCTCCGCAGGTGTGCCTACAGCAGTGGAGCCCTTGCCCCTTCCAGGAGTCTTCGTCCACCCACTTCAGCAAGGCCTTGGTGGGGCACACGAGGACAAGCATGCACCTGCTGAGGGTTGGACTGTGTGAGTGGCTGTTCTGGAACGTCAATTTCATACAGTTCAACCCAAGAGCAAACAGGAGGAGACACTTAATCACCCTGAGGTGGCAGGAAAGGTTTCCCAAGGGGGTTGGGGGCATTCAGTCTTGAACTCTGAATTGGGGTTTGCCAGGGGCCAGAACAGGGAAAGTTTTCAGCAGAGGTAACATTGCGAGTGAGGTGAAAAAGCAAAAAAATTTAAAGATTTATGCTTTCTTGTTACAGAAAGATTTAAGGCACCACCCAAAAATGATGCCCTCCCCCACCAAAATGACCTGTAAGTCAGTGACTAGAGGGTGCAGGGTGTCCTGGGGAGCTCTGACAGCTGGGGGAAGGTGGTGTCAATTGAGAAGGACACTGTAGGCCAGGCCAGGGATTTAGACTTGATCCCCAAGGGAAATGAGGAGACAAAGAAACGACATTCCATGCTGCAAAGTTCTTTCTGCCCATGGTCACAGTCACAGATGGTGCCTGGGAGAACTGTTAGGTGGCCTTCCCAGGCGGGGAGAGAAGGGGACAGCTCAGGTGAAGGCCAGAGCTGAGAGGGCAGAGAGGCGGGGTTCTCACTGGGCTGACTGGGGGTACTCACGCCACACGCTGGAGCAGGGGCACAGAAGGCAGCTGAATTGGGGGCACTGGGAGGACACATCTTGCAAGTCTGGACTGGGTTTGGGTGTCCTCAGTGTACAGTGGAAATCAGAGAGCAGGCAGGATGGGTGAGGACCTCAGCTAGGGCCGCCAGAACATGGCATTTTAGCAGGATGGGGGGGAGGGGGGAGAGGCTGAGGACCAGCACAGGGATGGGGGGCACAGCTACCAGGAGGGGGGTCATTGGTGGCAACTGCCAGAGCGAGCACGACATGGCCCTGAGTATCCTCAGGGGTTGGAAGCTGGAAGGTCACTGGCGACCATGGCAGCGGGATCTTCTGCGTGCCTGACCACGCAGGGCTGTGAAGGGAGCAGAGGGTGGGGCAGGAAGTCGCTGGAGATGCCAGAGCACGGTGAAAGGCCTGGTGAAGGTGGCAGGAGGCAGGAAGGTGACTGGGCAGAGGGAGCAGAGGGCATGGAGACCCCCACAGGGGTGGCCTGGGTGGGAGAACAGAGAGGGAGGCGCAGCCCATGCTGGGCCGAGGAGGGTGGGAGGGCCCCGCGCTGTGCAGGCAAATGTATTAGGTTTCCCTGCAACCTTTCCTTTCTTGGTTATAAACCAGTAGGTGTGTATCATGAAAAATTAAGTGACTATATGCAATATATAGAATGACCTGTCCTCCCCAGTCCTAAACACAACCACTTAACATTTGATATCTTTTCACTCTTTAAATATGCAAATATACACTTAAAAAATACTAACTTGGGATCACTATACACGGCTGACATGGGTATTCACGTCATTTTATAATTTGCTTTTTCACTTAGATAATGTTGTGAGGTTCTTCCCATGTCATTACATATTCTTCTAAAACATCATTTTCCATATTGTTTTGTGTGGCTATGTCATAATTTAGTCCAGCCTCCTACTTTGGGCATGTAAATTACTTCTGATTTTATAAATAATACCGAAATAAATACCCTTGTATGTGTGTGTGTATATCTGTAAGCATCTGATTACTTTTCAATACAAAATCCTAACAGTGGAATCACTGACTCCAAAAGCACTAGTATGTTGAATGTGTGCAATATACATGGTGAGAATGTCCCCAAGAGCACCAAGATTCTAGATTCATCTATGCTTCTGGCAACCTTGGGTTGTCAGAGGGAGCTGGTTGTGAATGGAGAGTCATATCAGCTTTGTAGAGGTGGGTTTTTGCAGGTGCGAGGTGGAACTTCAAATCCTGAACATCAACGTCCTGTGCTCTGCTGGCCACCCCCCCGCCGTCCATCAGGCCATACTCTCACTAGACCTTTCCCCTGCCATGAGGCTTGCGCTGCGAGCTTCTGAGGGCAGGCATCGCTTCTCGCACACGTGCGCATCGCTTCTTGCACGTGCGCATCACTTCTCGTACACGTGCGCATCGCTTCTCGTACACGTGCTCACTGCTTCTGGTACATGTGTGCATCCCAGCAATTAGCACAGCAGCCGGCACGAAGTGATGACAATGTTTGGCGACACAACCTGACGGAGGGAGCTGGTGACCGGGCATCTGCTTCATTATAGTGGGTACGTCCATAGTTTCAGGAAAATGAGGTGCCCTTATTGCCTGGCAGGTTGCCGCAGCCAAAGGTCTTGACGGGACCCCCTGCACAAATCAGGGGAGAGCCAGATGGGCTCCCGGGCAGGGAAAATGTCCTCAAATTTCTCTCCACAAAGTAGAACATCTGATCCAAGAATTAATGGGGTCCTTTGGTTAGATTTTATACTTATTAGATTTCCTTCATCCTTATCTCTGATTAAAATATCCTTATGTCATTGTTGCATCCCTGTGCAGTCAGGGTTTTAATAACGTAAAAAAAAAAAAAAGATTTTTTCCCTTTGTTTTCTTTCTTTTTAAAAACTAATCTATGGGCCGGCCCGGTGGCACACTGGAGAGTGCGCCACTTGGGAGCGTGGCGGTGCTCCCGCCAAGGGTTCGGATCCCATGTGGAGACCGGTTCCCGCTCAAGTCTTCTGAAATAAACTGATTTGGAGTCTTAAACTGTGACGCCCCAATCCCAACAAAGGGCCTCATACTACAGAGAGACGGCCACAGAAAGGACAGGACAGGAGTCCTTTCTGGGTAGACCCGCTATTCCTTTCAGGTGCTTTCCTTTGAAATTACACTGGCCAACACTCGTCTTCAGAAGTGGTCCTGCAGATCCTGTAATACAACCACTTCTCCTTCTGGAAGAAGGAACCTGGGGGGAAGGGAGGGGTACCCAACCTCTTTGCCTCCAAAAATCCCAAAACGATAAATAATAAAGAGATGAATCTTTTCAATATGAACACTTTATTTTGAATTTTTAAAAACATACATCTTACACTGCACTTAATCAAAATGAAGTTTCAGAAAATAAGTTCCCATCTCCTTTAGCCTGGACTTACACTGGGTACCCGTTCCTGTGGCCGCCGGGGGTGACAGGCCGGCACAGGGGCTCGTCCCCACTCCACTGTACACTGGCCAGCCCTTTCCGCCTTGTCTTGCCCGTGTTGGTCATGATCTGGTGGAAGGAAAGAGGAAATGGGACTCAAGAAATCATCTACTTGAGAGCTGACCTAGAAGAAGAACTTACTTCATTGAATAAATTAATCTATGATGATAAGAAGCTTTGCAAATAAATGAGGAAGGATCATGTCACAGATTACTCAGGCAAACAAAAATTTGGGGGAGAAATCCTTTTGGGTTTGCATATTATATCATTTAGCAATATACATTTAAAAAAATAAAATCACAGGAATAGGAAGAAAATAGTTGATTATAGTAACTTATCACATCTCTGGAGAGGACTGGACTTTTAAAAGTGAGAAGGGAGAAAAGACAGATTTGATTTCATAGAAAATTAACATTTCCACATGTGTAGGATATTAAAAATGAGCCAAATCAACAGGCAAACAACTGGGAAAAAATACTTAAAGCATATTTAACAGATAAAAGGTTTATTATGGATTGAATTGTGTCCCCCCAAAAGTTTAATGTGTTGGAGGCTTGGTCCCCACTGTGACAGTGTTAAGAGGGTGGGAAGTCCTATTATGGTAATTGAGAGGTGGGGCCTTACAGAGGTGACTAGATTGTAGGACCCTGCCCTAGTGAACGGATTAATAATGGTGGCCGGGGGTGGGGTTCAGAGGGCTTTAAAAGGAGAGCACATGAAGAGTCTCTCTCTGTTCTGCCATTTCTGCCATGTGAGACCCCTGGGTCACTGTCACCACCACTAAGACCCTCACCAGATGTGTTCCCTGCACTGTGGACTTCCCAGCCTTCAAAACTGTAAGCAATACATTGTTTTCTTTATAAATCACCCAGTTTCAGGAATCTATTATAAGAAACAGAAATGGACTAATACAAGGTTAAAATTTTCAATAAGCTCCTACAAATCAGTAAGTAAAACACTAAATAGATAATTGGGCAAAGAATTCACTCATGTCACAAAATAGAAAGTATTACCAGTAAATAGAAGGAAAAGGGATCAACTTTATTAATTAGAAACCATGACTTTACAAAAAAGGTAAAATTATTATATGAGCATCAACTTAAAGAGCCGACCCACTGCTGGCACTAGATTAAAATATTAGTGGCACTGAAATTTGAGACAACTCTTTTGGAAAGCAATTTGGCACTTTATTTCAAGAACTGTAAAAATCTTCATATCCTTGGATATAAATCCTAGTGAAAGAATCCAAAATATGGAAAACGTTAAATAAACAAGGTTGTTATAAAATTTTTATAGAATAAAACTGGAATAATCTCTCTAGTAATAAGGGAATAATTAAGTAAAATATGGCATATTCGCTTGACATTATATGGCCATTTGCACTGATAATGAATAGGTTATGAACAGAAATGTTTATTTAAAACAAAAAGACTGGAAGGAAATAAACACTAAAATGATTAGAGCAGCCATATAGGATAGTAGAACTTTGAATAATTTTTCTTTTCTATTTTGTAAGTTTTCTATACTGTGGTTATAATTATGTTAATAATTAAGAAAAGTCACTAGAAAATAGATCACTGTAACACTGGTGAAATCTGAGTCAAGTCTGCGGACTGTACCAACGTCAACTCCCCTGCTTTGATTTCTGCTATAAATGACACAAGACAGCACTGGGGGAAATGGGGGGAAGGGCAAGAGGGACCCGTCTGGACTACTTTTGTAACTTCCTGGGAATCTATAATTATTTCAAAATATAAAGTTAAAAAAATAAAAACTTGGAGTCACATCTTTGATTTCTTGGTTTTTGCTGAAAAGTTGTTCAAGTTTATCTAGTATTTGAAGTATTGGAGAGGGGAAAAAAGGGCCAACGGCTATGGGAACCAAGGGGCCTCCCCTGTGCCCTGGGACAGCTGCCAGCCAGGGAAGGAGGCAGGTGGGTAAGGAGGAGGCAGGGGACGGAAGGAGGGTGAAGGGAAAGGACGGGGCGAGAGAGAAGGGGCAGGAAACGGAACATAGCTAAGCTCTGCAAATAAGAACTACACATCCTCGGGCCAGCCCGTGGCTCACTCGGGAGAGTGTGGTGCTGATGACACCAAGGCCACGGGTTCGGATCCTACCCCTTTGCATATCTCGTGAAATCTGTTAACTAGAATGTTTTAACTGCAATCACGAACACTACTTCTACTCTGACTGCTCTTCTGTCACACTTCCCTGATGTAGTGTCTAGGATCAAACGGACACGTCCTCATCGCCAGAGCAGCCCCCTTAAGTGCAACTCGGCAATGGTACCTCAGGGCCACGTACGGCTTCTCTTTCCTCTCTCCATTATGTCCATTATGTCTGTCCCACAGAGGAGCATGGAAAAGGCTAATTCTTATGCTCCCGGACAAGGGGAACGGTCAGTATGAGGGTTCTTTTGAGTCTTTGCTAGCCCTCTGCCGCCGTCACCTCCCCACCGTCATCCCAAGCTCACCCCTCTCAATGCCTTCCCAGAGGATGAGAACATGTCACTTTATATATATACATATACATATATATATATATATATTCCCCCCCCCCAGAAGAAGTAGCTTTATTGGGACTCAAGAGTTGGAGAATGAGAGTAGGACCTGAGATAGGCTATTGAGTAGAGCCTAGGTTCCAAAATGGAAATCAAAGTTCATCAACCAAATTGTCTCTACTTGCCAGCAGCCTCACAGTTAGTGCAACCAATAGAAGGTGTGCTGGCCGGTGGCCGGTCACTCGGTTAGAGCGTGGTGCCAAAAAAACCGCCTGCTCGAAATGTATTTGCCACTAAATCACCTAAGTGTGCCACCATTACAAAAGAGGCACCGGTTTTTCTTCATAAATAAATTCCCACAAAACCCCCAAACCACAATTATTACAAAAGGAAGTAAAAAAATCACATCTTACAGATTTTAAACTTCAGCATTTAGCTCAAAATTTCATCATCTTCAAAAACAGCTCCTCTGCTAAGCTCATCATCTGTAAGATCTATCCAAGAAGCCATAAGACGACCTTTGCTAGCCGGTGGCAATCCTCTTCCCATTTTCCCTAGCCAGCCAGGACTGAACAGCAGGGTAAGGCTCAGGTGGGAGTGAGGACTGGGGGAACAAGGGCTAGTTCCCCCCAGTGCAACATGACATCTGGAGCCTGATGGGAAGAGCAGAACTGGTGAGACTTGAGGGAAGGGTCCAGGTCCTGTATTCAGTCAGTCACTGCTGGAAGAGGAGGAGTGGGAGGAGGAGGAATGCTTGCCATGCTTGTGCTGTGTGTGCATCTTTTTATGGGCTTTCTTCATTTTCTTCCTCATCTTCTTGTCCATCACCATTCCTGGTGCTACCATGCCAGGAGCCAAGGGATTAACAGGAGGCATGCCAGGGGCAGGTGGTGGATGTGGAGGAGGGTAGGGACCTGAGGGTTGGCATCCTGGATACCCTGGCTGTGGCACAGGATGAGGGGGCCCACCTGGGGGAAAAGCTGGATCCCCTGGGGAGCTCCTGGGGGAGTGGGAAAAGGGCCTGGAGGAAAGGCTGGATTGAAAGGAGGTGGATGGGCAGGATTGGGACCTCCGGGATACCTGACATTGGGGGGATACGGATTTGGCCCTGGCTGCCCGGTATTAGGATTCCACATGTTCAGGTGTTTTCCACTCCCTTTCCACGGCTTCTTCCCAATCTCCCATGTCACTTATATTTGAGAATGTTTGAGATGATCGAGAACTGTCAGCTATACCATCTCCTTAAAACTTTAGAGCCCCGGGAAATAATTTAAGTGAGTGCTATTTTTCCTCTCTAGTGGATGGGGAAACTGAGTCCGGCGTGCGGGTCAGCCCTGTCTGGAGGATAGGCCCTAGGAGGAGTGGGGTCAGTGTGCAGGGCCCAGCGGTATGCCTGACACTCCCTAGTCCATTTTTTGCGGGGCTGTCCTTCCCCTTCCCACTGCTGTGCTTGCAGGGTGAGCCACCGGGCCCTCTCTGGACCCCTCAGTTGCCACAGGGCCTTTTTAGGCTGGAAGGATCTTAAAGGGTATCTCATCTAACAACCTGCTGAGGCAGAGCTGTTTATACAGAGTTTTGCAGCAGTGCGTCAGGGGTTGAGGGAGAGAGGACAGAAAGGATTGCTGGCACCCACCTCTCCTCCTCCAGAGGAACTCAGCTTTCATCTGTGCTACAGATGGAGATTTTGTTTAAAAGAAGGTTCTGCTACTATAAAATGCAGCATATTTAACCACAATAAAAAAAATGCAGCAGGGCCGGCCCGTGGCTCACTCGGGAGAGTGCGGTGCTGATAATACCAAGGCCACGGGTTCGGATCCCATATAGGGATGGCCGGTTTGCTCAATGGGTGAGCGTGGTGCTGACAACATCAAGTCAAGGGTTAAGATCCCCTTACCGGTCATCTTTTAAAAAGAAAAAAAAAAATGCAGCATATAATTTAGCTGAATATAGCATATGATTTAGATGAATGCAATTTATCAGTAGTAAAATTTGGCCAACACAAAGAAAAAAAGACACACACACAAAAAGTTGGCCAACACATATCAATTTAGGTAAAAAAAATACATTTCTCATTTACTGGTTTTGAGTATTTGTGAATCACTTAAAGAAATGAAGACATGTTATAAAGCGGTATGGATTTTTGTCAGGAATGTAGGTATACTATATATATATATGTGTGTGTGTGTGTGTGTGTGTGTCTACGTATATACATATCCATATATACAGTGTATACACA